CATGACTGCGCACTGCATATAGACATGAGGCAGAGACACACAAACCTACTTGTGCACACACTGCCGCTCAGGGGGGTTTCAGTGCTGACGACTCAACCCATCACAGTGGTGACCCTGGGGAGAGCTCCCGGCAGTGGGGAGGGAACCTGCCTGGTCTCACCAGCAGGCACAGCAGTAGCCATATACGCAGCCACCCAGAGTTCAGTAGCTCTGCTTGGACTAAGGCTGTAGGGGCTCCGAAGGTGGGGAATACTGACTGCATTTTTAGCTGAGGGATCCAGCCCAGACCCCAGAGCCTGAGCCCCAGAAATGAGCATCGGACCTAAAGAACCCTCTGTGAAGCCGACAGAAGCGGGCACTGCACCAAGAAAATGGCACTGTGTTAGAGTATAAAGCAGGCATGCGATATGTGTGCCAGTATGTATTCCGTGCCACATGTATCCCACACAGTGCCGGTGTTTGGCCAGGTGCCCACATGGAGACCATTATTTTTGTGAAAACGAGCAGAAGAGATGTATATGGTTCCAAGAATAAAAGTAACATATGTATACAAATATAGGTACCAATACACAACTAGGGAGATGTCAAGTAGAAAATCTCTCTCTAGCTCACTGGTATCATTATCAAGCTGGCATGCTAGACCAAGCCTCTGTGGCAAGGTCTGTCTCCTTTCCAGGGTGGCCGTGATTATTTGGTGCCATGGGAGCTCTTTGGTGAAAGACTGGTTTGTGGGAGAATCAGATGTATCTGACATATTATCAACCCAGCAAAAGGGGAGAGTTTGGCAGCTTTAGGGGGGAACTTTGGGGTAAAAAACTATCTGAATTGCACCCCAGAAGTCCCGGGTTTGAAAGGTGCCCTGGGCTGTAGCAGCACCAGTGATGGCCAGACATGCCTGGCCGATGGTAGAGCCTGACTGCAGGTAGGTGCCGGTACACGTAGACTGTGCTGGATAAAAACATAAACCTATTCATGCCATACACAAACCCTCTCTACACATGGACAGCTCTGAGAACCACACCCGGCAATGTGCGGTTACAGATGTCCAATTGGATTGCCAGAGAAATTAATTTTGTAGGAGAGAAGATAAGAGATATTTAGGTGCACACAGGGCGCTCTATAGTTTTGGAGCTCAGTTATTGTAACAGGAGAGCCACAGCAGCAGGAAAGTGCCTAGCGCAAAAGGGAAACACAGGCAGGTGAGTCCCCATCGTAGAATGCCAGGCTGCATGGAGATGGGTGTCTAAGGGGCAGCCCCGGGAGGGATTAGATCCATTGTCCAAAAGACTCCAGATGCACGCAGAGGGATGTGCCTGATGAAGCTGCAAATCTACTCACCAATTTCTGGGCTGAGCCTGGGGGAGAAACACGCAGAATTGAGGGCCACGTCCCATGTCTCTAACGTGGGTTAGAGAATGGAAAGCGTGGCCCTTGGGGCTGGCTGGCTGTCAGTCTCTGGATCTGCCCTGATCCTTAACTGGCTTTCTGGTGCCTCTTAGTACCTTTTTCTTTCACTCTTGCAGGTCGCTGTCTCTGGGTCGGTCTCTGCCTCTCTCAGTTTCTCTCTCTGCTCCGTTTGTCTGTGTTTCTCTCACTGCCTCTTCAATTCTTTTACTATTCTGTATTACATGGCCACAGAGAAACACAGCCAGCTCCAAGAGCACATACAAAAACAAATTCATGTCGTAGATGCAGAGCTCATTGGTGATAAAGCCTATCCATCTTGCTGGTCTATGTAGATTTACGTGACAGCACATTTTCGTTTTTGTGTAAAAATCTAAGTAGAGCCTTGAAATTTTGTTTCCTTTCAGTCTTTTGGCTGCGTTCTCTTTGGGTGTCTGTCTCTGTCTCGTTTCTCTCAGGGACCCTTCCTCTTCTTCATTATATCACTTAAGAGCAGGCATTTTGGCCCTTGGACCCTGCCACAGTTTTGGTAATCCCCCCTTCCCTATATCGCCTTCTTCGAAGTTTGCCTCAGGTGGGCAAAGGTTTTTTTTTGAAACAGACAGTTAGATTGCCACATTGCAAGTGGTACCTGGAGAAAGACATTTGAAACATGATGGAGATACAAGAATATCTAGGGACATAAAAAGGGTTTTGGGACCAAACAGAGATACTTCCTTAATTCATCTAGGGGCTGGAGGCTTCTTCTGAGTGGAGTGGAGGGAAGGATATAGGTGAGGCTCTGAAATCCCAGTCACTGGTCCATGGCTGCCATGGGCCAGCAGAATCCCACCCCGCAACGCAGAGGAAGAGGTACCCAACTTATTAGGGCAAGCGCTGGGAACAATATGATGGAAAAGCAATGAAAACTGTCAAGGTCCCACTTCCCAATCTTGGATCTGGTATAAATAGTGTCTGAGTAAAAGAAGGATAGAACAGGAGAAGGGAGGGAGTGGTATGGCTGACTCCTTAGAGACCGATGCACACCGTGGAGATCTAGCTGGGGAACCAGAGAGTGAGACAGCCCCTGAGAGGAGAGGAGGGGTTCCCGGCCCAGCCCTGGTGGGAGAAAGGAAGTTGGAGAGTCGGACTTGCTTCATGCGATTTATGCTTATCCTGTGGTTGTTAGGATAAATGATGCGCCAAAAGCCTCGGCGGGGGTCCCTTGACCACTTACTAGGTGGTGGAAAGAGGGCAAAGGACTTGGTAATGTGGGTTGGGCTCTGGAGCCAGCAGAGGACTGGGGAAGGCCTCGGTCCTCGGGCTGCCCCAAGCCCATCCTGAGTGAACCTGGAAAGCTCATCCCTCCCGCCTCCAGATCCTTGTTTTCTCTCCAGATCTGGATTCTTCGTGCCTCTCGACTCTGTTTCTGGCTTCTTTACTCCCTTGAACTGTGGATCTGTCTCTCTCCATTTCTGTCACTGCTTCGCAGCTTTTCTGACTTCATCTGTCTCTGTTCTCAGGTCTCTGTCTCTCCGTACCCCCTCCCTTTGTTAATTCAAGGGGTTCTCACTGAGCCCCTCCCTAGTCTTCCCAGAATAACATTGAGTAAAATGAGATAAAACCCGCCTGTAGGTTTTTTTTTCTTGTCCTACTCCCCTCAGCCCCCTCCTCCAGGGCTACAACCCCCTCTTATAATGTCAGATAATTGCTGGTGTGCAGCTCTGAGAAGCCAGAGCTGATACCAGGGAAGGAGCGGGGGGTGGGGGGGGGAGAGAAATAAATAATAATCTGCTTCCATTCAGTGTATATAGTTTACCTGATTTGCATATATGCTAATATTGTTATAATTACCCTGCTGTTCTGGCCTATGATCAAGTTCTATAAATACATAGGATAGCAGAGCTAGGCGTAGCCACACCACCCTGAAAATTATCGAGCATACGTATGTATCTGTGCGCATTTCTGTGTACTCTAAATCTATGAGCCTTTCTTTGATATAACACACTCCCTTACAGATCCTAGCTCTTCCGGCTTTTAGTTACCCCTCCTATGTTTTAAGGCCACTCCAAGGGAGGAGGAAAGAGAAGCCTGAATGAGAAAACATTCTAGGTTATATTTAAATTCTTAGAATTAGTATCATTATGAATAAGTTATTACTATTTTATTAGGAAAATCAAAGATTTCCCCAAATTATTGAATTAATCTCCTGAATGCCCCCCTCCTACAGGCCCATGCTTTGGGGTACAGGTTGGGGGATAGGAAGAGATATCTCCATGTCCTAGGCCTTTTGAGATGTTTAAGAAAGTGCTGTCTATGGGAGAGGAAGTGCAGTCCCCTTCCCCGAATCTGCCCCCATGCCTCCCTCTCTTAGCACACTCCCACTCTCAGGAAGCCAAGGGGAAGATGCTCATGGAGTTGCGCAGATTTTTGGGTGATAGTGGCAGAAGTGGGGAGGAAGCCTGGAGGAACATAAAAGACGCAATCCACAGCTGTCTGCTTTTAATTATAATTATCCCCTTTAGCTTCCTTTCTGGCTAATGAGGGGGGGATTAAATTTTTTTCTGCCTTTCTCCCCCTCCCTCCTTTCCCTGGAATTGAGGGGTGGAGTGAGTTCAGGGTCCTCCTCCCCTTCCTCCCCAATCCCTTGGTTACTGGGAGAAAGGCAGACTCCAGAGGGTGGTGACAGTATGAAGAGATTTGTAGGAACAAAGGAAGGACAGGTTTGGATTGCTGGACACGTCCCAGAGTTGGAGAGACCCCCCCCTCCATTCCTCTGGCACCCCCTCCCATCAACCCCCCAGCTCCCTAGACAAGGAACTCAATGTCTTCAGCCGGTGAGAAAGGAGCTAAAGGGAGCCCTGGTCCAGAGGGAAGGAGGAGGGAAGGGGTGGGGAGCTGGGGGCGGGGGGTGCAAAATTAGTCTCAAAGGATCTTTATTTCTGAGCTAGTGAAGCAGATGTAATCAAGGGGAGAGCAAAATAATCATAATGGGAGGAATGAGGGGAGGGGGAAGCTGAGGCTGGAATGGGGGGACTGGGCCAGAACAGGGCTGAGAATTGGGGGGCAGGTAGCCTTGATTGGGGGCAGTCTGTTACCTTCTCCCACCTCCCCAAAGTCTGCCTACTTTGGGGTAGGCAAAGAAGGACCAGGTCTATAGACTCTGACCTTTGCCCTCAGAATCCCCCTTTCAGAGCTTAGGGATGGCCAGGCCAGAAGGTGGCTGGGAAGGCACCAGGGAGAAGAGAGCCCCCCGCCCCAGCTGAGGGAGGTGGTGAGGAGAGGGGAGACTGAAAGCGGTGGGGGAGGGTGAGAGAGGGGAGCCAGCAGAGACTCAAGTGGCCTCCAGGTCTGTGGGACAAAAGTTGGAGGGAGATTTGTGTATGAGAGAAGAGGGGAGGGGGCCTTGGGGAAGGGGGGGCTTTGACAATGAACTTGAGACAAACTTCATTAGCATGCAGGCCTGCTGTCTGTCACGTCGAGCTCAGACTGAGTTCCCATGCAGGCCAGGAAGAGAGGGAGGGAGAAGAGGGAGGGGCTGAGGGTGGGGGTGAGGGAGAGAAAAGAGACCCGACCATTGTACCATTCTGGGCCCCAGCTTCCACCAGATATCGGGACCCCAGCCCTGGAAACCAACCCCCAACTCACTCTCCCTCCTCTAAGAACAAGATAATTTATCTCCCACTTTGGATCTGTGGTCGCACCCCTCCTCTTCTCTTGTCTAGGCTTCTAAGTGCTGGCCTTCACTGCCCCCCCCATCTTGGTCACCCCTCCAGCTCTCAGCCTTCATCTTCTGACTGTCACTTTCTCTTTTACAGCTAAGATCTGGATTTGTGATTAGTTGAGCTGACAGGGACAGAGAGCTGGGGGAGGTTTGGGAAGGGGAGACCGGAATACTTTGAACGTCCAAATGGCAAACTGTGTCCTCTTTCTATCACTCCGTATCAACTCCACTCCCCACCCTAGACACACATCATTGAATCACGCTCTCAAGTTCGAAGGTGAATTAGAAGGGGAAGGAGACTGGGGACAGGGTATTTCTGTCACACACTTTCTCTTGCTTCCTTTGGGGATAAGGGTGGCCTGGAGGAACAATAGCTTTCCTTAGCCCCTTCTTCCTGCCTCAGGTTAGAAAAGGCAGTAGGAGGAGGTGGGAAAGAGTGAAGATGACAAAGACCCCTTCCCAGACTGGCATTAGATGGGAGAAGGAGGGGCTTCATCAGAGTGGGTTGTTATTCTGGTGGTGATGGTGTCTCCAGACAGGGGCAGCACCCCCTTTTTGCTGCCTTTCCAGGGAGCGCAGCAAGAGAAAGAAAGAGAGAGGCAAGCGAAATTCCTGAATGGATAGACAGATGCTACGTCATCGGAGCTGCATCCTCCACTCCACAAGAGGCTAGGAGCCGGGAGAAAGAGGCAGTCCAGCGGCTAGGAGCCGGGAGAAAGAGGCAGTCCAGGCAGTCCAGCGGCAGGACGCCCGAGCAGGATGTCCTCCTCACAGCAGCCGGGTAAGTGGCCATTCTTTCGGGAGGGTCCTAGCGCCTCAGACATCTGAGCTGGGGGTGGGAAGGGATCCCCTAAAATCAGTCAGGGCGCCCTACCTTCCTACTTTGCCCACTGGCTAATGGAGGCGGGTACAATAATCACAGAAAAGAAAGGCTGATAAAAGATTTAGGGGTGACCAAAAGGGATGAGGCGTGTGTGTGAGTAGTAGTTGGCAGAGTGGGATTTCATCTCTTGCTTCCCCCATCTATCTATCGAGGTGGGCTGAGGCAGGCCCCTGCCCAGCTGTCCCAGAGCGCCTCTTGGTCCCCCTCCTTCCCCTAGCCCAGGCCAACCGGGAGACAGCTTACTAAGTTTGTCAATGGGATTCAGGGGGGCTTTAGGGTCACGGTGCTACTGATCCTATTAATCCGCCCCTCCCTTCTCTCCACCAGACAGGGCCAACATCTTAATGCTTGCACCAGAGGAGAGGCAGGAAGGAAGATTGTAGTGGAGATGTGAGGGAAGAGAAAAAATGGTTCTGTATTTGGACTCCTGACCTTCTTCCCTCGCTCTGACTCTTATTCCTCTCTGCCCCAAAGACTTCAGGTTTTAGGGGCGGACAAAGTCTGAGGGACTGGGGTGATTGGGGGCTGGGGAAGGAGCCACATCTCCAAAAAGGTGGAGACCAGAATTAGGAAAAAACATCGATAGCATTTAGATTAATTTTATTCCCCTTTTTCCTTGCTTTTCTCATGAGCTGGGAGGTGGGAAAGCTTAAAGGCAAGTGAGGTATTGGGGGCAGATGCCTAGGTTCAAAAGGGGAGAGAACCCTGCTCCACCCCTTATGCGACCCATCTGACGGTGGTTTTTTTAATTTCTTGTTTTTTAAGAAGGGCCAGAGGAGACAGAAAGAAAACACTATTCTTATCCCCAGTCCCCACCCACATGGTGCTTTCTGGGAGAGAGGCTGGGACCATTGTGGGGTAGTAGAGGCTAGAGGCCGGCAGACTATTTCTGGTACCCCAGGGGCCAGGTTTGTGGGAGAGGCTGAGGATGCGGCCACCAAACAAGCACACACCTGTTCCATGCCTCCTGGGGTGTGGTGCTTGTCACCACGTCCCCCTGGACATCGTGTGTGGGGGTGGGGGTGTAGGGCGGGGTGCAGGGCCGAGGTCAGCAAAGAGAGGTACAGCTGCTCCAGGGACCCCATGACGCTTTTTGATTAGGGTGGGAGAAGGAACCTTAGGCTCCCCAACTGTCCTTGTGCTTATTTTCTATCAAGTTGGGGGTTGGAGTTGGCCCCCTCTTTGGTCTGAAGAGAATTCCAGACTGAGACACCCCTTTATGAAATGGATGGGCTGGCAGAGCTGAGGCTGGGAGTTAAGTGGGTATTCATGGGTGTTAGAAGTGGGGAGGGGGGCACTCAAAACACCCCTCCTAGAAATCAGGCTTGGATTTAAGGCTTATCTCTGCTCCCCAGCCTTCCTTTTTTTTCTGATTTCCTCTGCATTTAGGTAGGTTATCTTCCTGACTTAAAAAAAAAAAAAAAAAGGAGAAGAGGAAGAATTCGTTGTGGAATTGAGTTTGATGTAGAAGGAATCACCAAATTACCCCAACACACACACACACACACACACACACACACACAAATACACTTCTCTTAGTATTTTAGGAGCTGGGTTACCTGTGGTACACATGTCATTCCTCAAAATCATAATTTAGCCTGAAGCAAATACTGGGAAAGTAAGACTATAAAATATTGAGACTGGGTTTCATACCCAACATTAAAATTTTTTAAAAAAACTGCTTTGTATTCACACCTTTTGTGTATGTGACAAAGAGAAGGAGAAGGAGAGAGGGAGAAATTGATAGCTACAGGAGATGTCTTTATGGATCCTTAGTGATATTCATGGGTAGATGATAGATAGATAGGTAATGATGAGAAGGGGGAAGAAAGCTAGAGACACAATATGATTGACAGTATCTCAAGTGCGTAGCACTTTACAGTTTACAATGCAGTTACAGCTAGAGAGACAAAAATGTATGTCTGACCCCATTCTATCTTGAGCATGCTTTCTCGTACACCATGAGCAACAGGAATCTGTGAGGGGATGGTAGCCATGGGGCAGGGAATTACTCCTCTAGTTTTAAGTCAGAAGGACCACAACATCTCCACAGGCTCAGTTCAAACCCCTGGGCCGGCAAGGTTTTGGAGGGAGGTGGAAGGAGGTTGTGAAGATGGGCCTGGGTTAGAGTCGTCCAGGCAAGATGGAGCCAGAGAAGTTCAGGCCAGGGGCCCTGCCTTCCCTGCATGTCTAGGCTTTTCTCTTTTAGCTATCTCCCTGTGCAGCCCAGAGCTCTGGCAGAAGAGGGGAACCTAGACTGTCTAGGTCCTAAAAACATAAGACTAGGAGAAAAGGAGTTGGTGAGAGAGTGTCAGGGAGACAGAGGTATTAGTGAGAGAAGACTGGAGCCACTCAAAAGACTTTAACCTTTGTATTCTCCTCCTTGACAGGAGCTGGGCATCCGAGAAGAAGCAGCCTCCTTTGTTTCTGGTGTCATCGTAGGTGTCCCCCTTTGGCTTTGGGGGTATTTATTTTCTTATTTGTTTGTTTTCGATGGTGGTGTTGGGGGTGAGCATGGAGAAAGAAGCTGGCTCTGCAATCATCTGGGTTTTCTCCTGTTCCCTACACCTCTCTACCCCATGCCCTGTCTCTTCTAGCTTTCAGCCCCTGATTTCGGTCTATTCTGATTGTTGTAAGACTTGTATAGTCATTGATAATGGGAATGGAACATGGAGACTTAGGAATGAAGGCCACCCTGCACCCAGTTCCGTGAGAGAGAGGAGAGGCACTGAGGATTCCGGGGGACTCTTTTCCCCCTCCCTCATAGGCTGCTGAGGACAGAGATGGAGGCCAGTTGACACAGGGGGCGGTGGTTGGTTGCAGAGGAGCAGAGATATCTGCACATGGGTGATAGAGGTGAGAAAGGAAAGGAGTGTGGGTTGTGGTGAAGGGGGACCTGCAGAGCTTAAACAGCTGTGAGTGGGTGTGTGTGCCAGGGTGTGTAAGCATTGGGAGGTGGTACTGCTGAGAATATCTGTAGATATGTCATTGCATTTGTCTTAGTTGATAGGTTTGTGTGTGTGCGCGTGCATGTGTGCGTACACAGCACCCTTACACACTCATGCTTTTGCCTCTCAAAGAGACCATTTGCTGATGGCTAACCCTCTATCACCTCTGTCACCTTGTTCTCACCTTTCCAACTCCACAGGGCTCTCAAGCAAGTGAGCTGTGTGTGGGTTCAAGGACAGAATTGGGAGCAGGCAGGGAGGCAGTGCTTAGATAGACCTGAGGAATTTTCAGGCTGGCCTCTCAAGAGGAGAAAAACACTTTGTGGGGAGCGAAGGGTGGTGTCCCCAGGGATGAAATCTTCCAGATTATGTCTCCACGCCCTTTAAACTCATCTGCCCATATAGAGATTTTTTTTTTCACAGCTTCCCCATGTTTTTTTTACTGCAAATTCTTGCTTTATTTGTCGCTATCCCATAGAAAATGCAAATATTCTATAGCAAAAGAATAATGTATGATAATGTTCACAATAATGATGCACTTATAAGACAGAAATAAATATCTGAACCCACCCTCTTCCAAATGCAGCTTTCATCTGTATCTTCGAGGCAAATTAACCTGATAATTGAAACAAAGAACAAATATGCTTTTTATTTAATTACCTAAATATTTCAAGAGAGTTGCTTGATGCCAAAATATATTTTGGGACCCAAATTATAAAGATCCATCCAAAAGCTGCATCCAGAGAGCATAATTCAGGCCATGTTTTTTTATACATGGACCTCTTCAGGGACACAGACAATGGGTGGGCATCAGGGCTGTAGGGATGGGGGTGGGGACAGGCACTGGCAAAGAATGTATGCTCCTTGGCTATTTGAGACACTTACAGACTGAGATCAGCACCAGGGATGTGGTGTGCTCTCTCCACAGTCTGCCAGAATTTCCCTTGAAGGACTTGGGTGGGGTCTGCAGACCATCGCTCTAAGAACACTGCAGCGGAATCTGCTGTGTGCTGGAAGCAGAGGGCTCTGCTCCAACTGAGGCCTTCCTAGAGAGACTGAGGCTGGTTAGCCAAGCGCAAGGGGCATCTAATGCACCCATTTTACTCCAGCTGTTAGCTTCTCTCAGGTCTGCTGTATCCAGTTCTCCGCAGTAGAAGGGTCCCTTCTGGTCAAAGGAACTGCGGAATAGTCACTAACATACAACTCCCCACACTCCCCTCTCATCCCCATACGCAGATCCCACAGGACACACCTTTTGTCAATGCCCACCCTCTGCATCCACAATGGGCTCAATCCACATGAAGACAAACTCAGACTTGCAGACACACTCACAGAGACACACATTCTTTTATTAATTCATCAGTTACTGAAGGACCTACTGTATAGCACAGGGAACTCTGCTCAGTATTCTGTAATAACCTAAATGGGAAAAGAATTTGAAAAAGAATAAATACATGAATATGTATAACTGAATCACTTTGCTGTACACCTGAAACTAATACAACATTGTTAATCAACTATACTCCAATATAAAATAAAAATTAAAATAAATTAATTCATCAGTTACTGGGTACCCACTTTGTTTTAAGCATGGTGTTAGATACCATAGAGTCAAAAATGTATGAAGTCGCCTCTGCCCTTGAGGGGCTGTCTCATTTGCTACTCTTGAATTAGTTTCTTTTTTGAAACTGGAGCAACGTGGCTTGGTATACAAACCAATTCCAGTTAATATGATGGTGGGGAGTTTTCTGCTTCTTTCATGGCTTGCAGTTCTATCTCCATTAGAATAAAGACGGTGCCCCACTCATCGTCATCCCTGAGCAGGAGCTGTGGGAGATCAGGTTGTCAACTCCACCCAGACAAAACTAAACAAAAAATTACTTCATTAGGAATCTAGGCAGAGAGGGGGATTCCAAGTAGATAGTACCAGGACAACTTAGAATAATCTCCATTTTCTTTTGTGGGCCCCCACCCCTTATATTTGGACACTCTGTTTAGACTGAGGTACCTCTGTAGGAGCCAAAGCCATAGTAAGGTGCAAGGGGATCTAGTTCTTTGTCTAACTATTTGGGGAAATTTAGATATGTACCCACTTCTTTCCTGACCTTGGTTTTTCAGGAATTCCAGTTGAGTCTGAATTTGGGCAATAAGGGTGTGGTTGAGGGGTTTCTGTTGGACAAAAAACTGTTTCTGTCCTCCTTCCTCCCCAACAAAAATACAGCAGTGGCTGAAGGGGAAGGGAGGTTCCTGCTTCTTGCTAAGCTGTCTGGATGGCCCAGGCCAGGGCAAGGAATTGTGGAGATAAGCTTGGGCCCCACAGAGGGCAGGGAACTTGGTTGGAAATTATTACAGAGGAGAAAGGGGAGTGTGCTAGCTAGCAAGACAGCCTCTTTCCCACATGCTGGCCCCAGCCTCCAGGAGCTGGGTGAGGGTAGGATGGAGGGGCAGAAAGGTTCGTTTAGGGTGCTTTTAAGGGATCTCGTGGAAGGGCAAATGGAGAGATACTTGTAGGGGAAGTTGGTGGTATGTTCGGAGAAGTGTAGGCCCTCTTTAGGATTGCTGGAATGTCCAGAGGATATTGGGTATCCTATAAAGGGGTGTGAGGTGGTACACTGAGAAATATTTGAGGAGGTCTGTAGGCATGAAGAGGCGTATAGTTTCTCTGGGGCCTGGCATGGGGGATGTATGTAGGGAATGCATTTAGCAGCACACCAGTGGGGTATGTCTACCTGTGAGCGTGGGGAGGGCTCTGCTTTTCTGCAGCTATACCCCACCATTGGCTGGTGTGCTGTCAGTTCTGGGAGGGTGAAGAATTGACACTGTGGAAGTTTCTAGAGAGCCTTTCCCTTGGGTAGGGGCCTTGAGACCCTATGGAGGCTGACAGAGGGGGAAAAGGTGTGCCAAGCACTGCTCTGAGACCTGGGGAAATCAGGGCATCTGCTTCAGCTCCCTCCTGTCACTGTGGTGGGGAAACGCAGGGCCCTGGGCTTTATCCTATTTCAAAGTGTCCCCCACCTCACAATCAGGCAGCAATTATTCATACATTTTCCAGTTTTTGAGGGGAGCACCAGATGAAATCCACTGGCACGGCTTGCATCTAACCAAGGCAAATAGCATTCAGGCTGGGCTTTGTCTTAGGCTATGCAGAGGCAGGACCCTGGGGCAGATAAAACCACCTGGCTGGGTCTGATGGCCAAACACTGGGCCAAACCCAGTGCACCCCAGTTGCTGTAGGATCCCTGGTGATAGGACCCAACCCATATTAGGCAGAGGGACTGGCTCCCGATGTCCAAGTCATAGAATTTTTTAGAAAAGGGGCCCAGAGGAGAGTGGGTGGAGGGATGGGGTAACTCGGCACCAGGAAATAGAACTGCTCCCTGTCAGTCACAGCGGCTCAAATGGGGGTCCGCAGCTCGATCTCAGAGGGCTCCGCCAGCCTTGGAGAATCCGGATCCCGCCTGCGGACCAGCGTGTGCCACCGGGAGTTGGGACACGGCATTATTCGCTTCTGATTCTCCCGGCCACATGGGGAACGGGGTCGGGAAAGCCCGCAACTTGAAACCCTGCTTGGAGAATGATTTTTCTCCCTGTGACCCCGGCTCTCCAGACACCCGGAGATGGAACCCGGGTTGGGGGTGCAGGGTTCGCGGTTCAAGGCGCACGGGGTGGGGGAAGGGAGAGAAAGCTCTAGCGAGGGCCTCCAGGGCTAGGTCAGATCTGCAGGTGTTGCCCAGACTAATGCCAGCTGGGATCCCCAGCCTCCCCTACCTGGAACTTTGGTGCTGCGAACAAGTTCAAGAGATATTCTCATTTCTGCACGGCGAAGAAGGAGGCCCAGCCTCGCTCAGACCCTGCATCTCCCAATAGGAGTCCCAAACTTCCAGGATCTTTCCCTCACTGTTTTGGATTGAAAACCAACAAGGGAGGTTCCCGTCCACCCTAAAAGATTAAGATCACAGTCTGGGAGGCACAAAGAATATCCTGATGAGAGAAGGCAGGTAGAGGTAGAATCTCCAGCCATCTGGTTCTTTTTGAGGAGATGTCACCCGATCTCTTTTCCCATCATTGAGCCCTGGACCTGGTGCAATACACCTAGGGCCAAAATGGAAAATGTAGAACCTACAAAAAGAGTGAGGTTGGAGTGCAAAAGCACAAATGGCAATGGATTGGAGATGGCCGGCAGGCGTCGGGGATGCAGCAAAAGGCTGGGAATCAGCACACAGACATAGTAGTTCCTCCGCCCCTCACCATTCTCCCGGGGGGAGGGCGCCCCAGTTGCGCACTCCGGTTCAACCTGGGAAGGGGGAGGGGCGGAGCCGGCGGGGGAACGAGGTGGTGACGTCAGGCTCGGCGGAGCCAATCACGGGCTCGCCTGGGGAGGGAGCGTGAAAGGATGAATGAAAAGTCCGGAGCCGGAGCGCGCCCGGGTCAGAGCAGCGGCAGAAGCTACGGAAGGAGCTAGGGAGGTGAGGCCCGCTCTGCCCTGCTCGCCTTGGCTCGGCGGAGGCTGAGATCCCGGCGGGCGCCTCCACCCCGGCGCCCGCTGAGCCCTGGCATCTCGGACCCAGGGCAATGGCATTCCGTGGGCGGGAACCTGCAGGGAGGACCGCGCGGGAGAGCACGGATGGGCACACTAGGCTCGATGTAAGTGGCCTGGTTGGCTCGGGACACGAGGTGGGCTAGAGCCTCGGAATCCTGCGTGCCGGCACCTCCACCGCTAGGGGGGCTGGCCGAGCCCCACACCCTCCTCAGGGCTCCCGGGACCCCCAAGACGATTCCCGTTCCTGATCGGAACTCCCACCAACCCCTAGGGCGCCTCTCGCTTCGGACCCCCGGCCATTTTCACAGCCCTGGGTGATTCTGGACCTCTTTGTACAAAGCCATTTCTCTGGGGGGTCCTGCGGGGCCCGGGACTCGGCTCACCTTCCCGGCCCGCCCTCCGCTTTCTTCCCTCTTCCCCATCTCGTGGGTGCTCTCTCGGATCCCTTCTTGGGTGTGTCTCTGCCTTTTCCTTCTCTCCTAGAGAGACTCGCTTGGTAGTCCCTGGGTCGCCTCCTCCCACCCCCTTTGGGTTGCTAGGATTTCCCTGTTTCCTTCTGGGACACCTCCGGGGTTTTACCCCCAGGATTTCGCTACCCGCTCCCCCTTTTAGTCGGAGGCTTGGATCCAGCCCTTTCCCCTGCATGAGCTCCGCTTCGCTTCCACCGCCCTCGCGAGGTGGAAGCTGTGGTGGGGCCGGCTCCGCGCCTTCCCCCTACGACCCCACACAGAGGCTTGGGCTCCGCTGGAAGCTAAGGTTCGGTCTATCGGATGCGCCTGGATCTCCCAAAGGAGGGCAATGTAGACCCCGTGAGGTTTGGGAGGCCTCTGTCTCGGTCCCTGCAGTCTTCCCGTGTGGCACGAAAAGCCCGAGAGTCCCTCCTCCCAGGGACCAGCGGAACTCTCTCGCTTCTGGCTCGAATGGGGAGCGGGAAACGAGGCGTCGCAAGCTTTGGGGATCCGGGGGCGATTCCCGGACTTCGACACCGTCGGCCGTCGCGTCCCTTCCACGCCTTTTTCGGTCTCTGTCATGTCTATGTCCCAGTGTCTCTGAGTCTTTTTCCGTCCTGGACTCTGTTTCTCTCCCAGTCCCCCACCTCTACCAGTGTACCCTTTCCCCAGCGCCCATCGGCGGGCGACCAGGATGCTTCGGCGATACAGGCGTCCGCAGCGGCAGCCGAGAGGCTGCGTGGAAGAGGCGGCGACGGCAGCCAGGAGGCGGGGTTGGTTGTTATCTTTGGTTATCTAGCTGTATGAGTGGTGTGGAGTCTTCATAAAGCTAGATAACCGAAAGTAAAAATAACCCCATACACTGCGCGGAGGGGCCCCGGGAAAGCTGGCGGCACGGGCGGGCGGGAGAGGCCTAAGCGAGGGGCTAGAGCTGCGAGGACCCACGGGCCGTGGTAGGCGAGAAGAGGACCCGGCGGCCCTCGGGCCTCAAGACCGCAACAGTCGGGGCGACTTTCCACCCTCCAACTTCGGTCCGCGCAGGTAGGAGTCGCAGCCCCATAGCCAGGCGCAAGGCAGTACCTTCCCCCGCCGAGTCGGGGGGTAGCAAGAAAGGGCGTTGTGGTTACTTCTCGGGATGGGGCCTTTTCTGGCAGTCTGCGGATTGGGTCACTGCCGGGGAAGCTGCTCCAAGGGAGAGATCTGTTGAAATCTTGTTGCAGGGTTATTCCGGACGGTGCCGGGGGTTCCTGGGCCAGGCCTCTCCCGTGGGCGCTGGTGAACAGCTTCCCGCAAGCTATTCACAGCTATTGCTGGGGCGGGAGAGTTTGGGGGAGGTCACCTGAGAAGGCTAGCCTTTGCTTTGATGGGCTCCCTGAAGCCACGTAAGTCTATCCAGCTAGATCGGGAGCCGAGAATGGCAAAGTGGAGA